TGGGGAGAATATCATCCTTAGAGGCCCTCCGTAGGCCTAACTCGGGAATTGTGGCTCTCCCTGGGCTTGACTTGGGGACTGGAGCCCTGCTTGGGCTAGATGTGGGAACTGGAGCCCTCCTTGGGCTAAACTCGGGGACTGGAACCCTCTGTGGGCTAAACTCGGGGACTGGGGCCCTCACTGGGCTAAACTCGGGGACAGGAACCCTCACTGGGCTAAACTCGGGGACGGCAGCCCTCTCTGGGGTGGGCTCTGGGGCTGGAGCTGACACCGGAGTGAGCCTAGGGACTAGAACCAACCACCTTTTCCTCCTTAGATTCCTCGTTAGATTCGGGGTGACAGGCGTGGTCATCGGACTTGACACTGGAGCGGCCGGCGGGCTTGACTGAGGAACAGCCGGTGTGCTTGACTTCGGAGCGGCCGGCGGGCTTCAGAATACTCCAGCTCCAGCCCCAGAGCATATTCTGTAAAATAATGCACTTATGTAAATCTAATCTAGGCTCCTGGTGAGATCAGGTATTATGGGGACTAGCAAATATTTGCCTCAATATATTTCTATTTATATTCAGTATTCCATATAGTAGTTTAATAATAGTCTTCTGTGGTGTCTGGGAGGTCCACGGGGCGATAGCAATTGGCCCCGATTCAGAACAGAGAGTTTAGCGTGGCGTCGTCCAGCGCTGTTTTCGCGGCGATCCCGCAGAACTCCCACGCATACTCCACAAAGGGGAGATCTCTGCGGGCTAGAGCAATGAAGCGTCCCGCTACTTCCATGCCGCGAGGAGAAAACAAGGGAAAACAAAAGACTTTTCAAAAGGAAAACAAAAACACGGGGAGAAGGGGCGCCGCTTACTGTTTGTTGGTCCGGTATTCTATCACGATCGCTACTGTGACGGAGCGAGGAACGAGGAGACATGGAGTACATCAACAAGGAGACTTTAATAACATCAAGGGAACCAGGAAGACACACGTAGCAGGGGAGGTTGACATATACAATACCGGACGACCAAACTTAGAACAGGGAACACTTTAAATACACATGACGAGGGGATGACGAGACACACCTGGAACTAATGAAACAATAATTGCACATGAGGGAAAACTAGGTCATGGAACACATGGGGAACAAAACACAAAACACGGAACAGAGTCTGACACTAGAAATACTTAAAAAGTGCATATTCTGTAAAATAATGCACTTATGTAAATCTAATCTAGGCTCCTGGTGAGATCAGGTATTATGGGGACTAGCAAATATTTGCCTCAATATATTTCTATTTATATTCAGTATTCCATATAGTAGTTTAATAATAGTCTTCATTAAAGCTGTAGTTTAGAAACATTCATTAAATATAAACAAGATGTTTGATCGCTTGTACAGCCACGTCTCTCTCACTTGTTTCACAAACAGGTTAAAAAGACGATAGGCGTGTAGCTCGTGAATGAATGATTGGGAGAGATTGCTTGGAAATAATATTATCCTATATTATCTCAAATATTATTATCCTGTCCGTGGCTCAAATGGGTCTCATGTCAGAACTTTTCTTTCTCTTTAAATCACCTGTATAAGCGGCTAATATTGCTTTCCCTCTCAGGTTAACATTTGTTGTGGAAAAACTGCATAAATGAGACAAAAATGCAGCTGCTTCAAATAATGTTTGCTTGATTTTGCATTAATTTCTGCGTTTGCAGAATTGTGAAATCCTGGTGACTGAGCAGTGCTTCAATGTATTGAAACCAAAGTAAACCTGAGCGTGTCTTAAGGGTCCTAGTGAAGTTTCAGTGTCTCTAAAGTTATAAATAATGGTCAATCTAATCGTAGCCTTTGAGCTGCTTTTCCTGAGCAAATCTACTCAACTCTACAATGAGACTCCATTGATGTGCTTGAGCTGTTAGATGGACATTTATGTGCTGAAAAACCAAACTTTTCCCTCAGACATCACACACAAGCTTTCAAAAACACACACACAACAACATAGTATTACACACTGGTGCAATAAATTCAAAACAATATATCCAAAACTGGTAAGTTATGTTGCTTGTGGTTCTCCCCCTCAAAAACTTTTTCACATGAACACAAAAGACACAACCAATGTATAAATTGGCACATTTTTATTCATTCATGTACTACACGGCACAACTGTTAAAAATTTTTTTTTTTAATTATTCTGCCTCAGCATCCCGTCTTTGTTCTGGGTCAGGCCAGAGAATCTCGTCCACATCACAGGCTATATTGAATCGAG